CAGCATGCGCGCATACACATACGCACACACATACTGTCAGAAATACAGGCATACATAATTGTGCATGCCCATAATCAGTGTTAAAGCCAGACGGTTTTTGTTGGCGCAAAGAAACCGGTAACAGTCTCAAGGTCGTTGAGAAACTGCGTTTGGCTCGCTCATCGGGTTGACTGGGCTCGATTGCGATGCCTTAAATCAAGATAAACCTCAGCAGAAGCGTCGACACAGTTTGAACAATAGCAATGCCCCATATTAGGGCGATTAGTATTCACAGACACACAGACTTTAGCTATTCATATATGTTCATATATAATAAAAAGCGAAAGTAAATGCCATGAAAGTAGAGCACAATCTGCCCGCGTTCAAGGTAAACTAGCGAGGGGGCGTTGCTATACAGGTACCAGCTTGTCTATCATATTTGTTGTTTGGCTGCGTGAGTCTGTGTGGATGTGCATCTGCATAAGTCGGTCAATAAGTTTATTGACCGTTTTAACAGATTTAATGGCTTTATTTTCGTAATAAATACTCCTATTTCGTTTAAAGTTTTTTTCCAATGCCCTGAAATTGGTTAGGCAAATCAATGTTTAAGCAACTGAAAAACTTATCAAATTGGCAAAAAAAACAATGCTTTTGTGCGAATGTGCTTTGAAATTATATATACACATTCGTCCGCTATTTATTATTAAGTTTGTTTTGCTTTTACATTGTGTAAATTATTTAAGTGTGATTTTTATATAATTTTAAGCGTTATTTTTTAAACTCTTGTCGAGCTAAACTTAATTTTGTCATGATAAAAACATACTACAAAATTTTGGCTTCTTGTTTATCGCATAGGCATCATATTGGGAGCAGTTGGTTGAAAAATATTTTTGTTGTTGGTAACTCTTATACTGTAACCATAAAGCAGATACTTTAAAACTAAGATTAGGATTTATATACATAAAACCAGACGGGGAAATATGTACATGTGTATGGATTTAAACATTTAATTCCTTGGCTTCTATAGCGTCGGAAAACTTTCCTTCAGAAAGACAGGAGGAGGCAAGAAAGACATTACGCAAAACCAATATACTCTTTTTACTTTTTGAGCAGGATATAAAAGAGCGCTCATAAGAATTATGTCTCGCGTACACAAAATCTTCGGCACTCTGAAGATAACAATTATTTCTTTCTATATCATGTAACGCTCGTATGCAAATGTATGTAACAGGTGGCATCTTTGATCCAATAAGGTATATGTACTCCCGGTTAGTGTGTTCTTTCTGACTGTCCGTCTATGCTTCTAGAGGCTTAAAATATTAAATCATGTGAAGTTTAAAACCTTCGCAGAGGGTGTTATAAGTTTATCATGAAGTGTTTAACGCATGGAAGGATTTTTGACCCCATACAGTATATATATTCTTGATCAGCATTAACAGACCAGATTATATAGCCATGTCCGCCACATTTTTTTTTACGAAAAATAGTGTCTTCGTTTTAAAGCTATCTTCTTGAAATTTCGGATAAGTCGGTTTTTCTGTTACAGGCAGTTCATATGTCGAAACCGGCCGGATAGGAGCACTAAAGCATATAGCTGCTATGTGAACGATCGGGCGAAAATGAAGTTCTAGTGTAAATAACTAACAAATTTGAACAAGATCGCACTACGTATTATATAGCTGGTATTACATAGGAAGAGTCGGTCAAAATATTAGGTTTTGTATGGCAAAACGATTTGCTTTTCAAGAAATTGTAACCAAACTCAGAATATACGTGTTTCATTACTCACACGAAGCCGTAAGCCAAATGCCTACAGGGGTATTTCATCATTGGCGTGCCGCAGATAGCCGATCTTTCTTGTTATACCCTGAACCCATTGAAAATGGGTAAGAAGGGTAGAATGTATTTGTGCAAATGTATGTAACAGGCAGAAGGATGCTTCTCCGACCCCATAAAGTATATATATTCTTGATCGGCATCAACAGCCGAGTCGATTTAGCCATGTCTGTCCGTCTGTCCGTCCGTCCGTCCGTCCGTATGTATGAACGCAAGGATCTCAGAACCTATAAGAGCTAGAGCTGAAATAGCGGTAGGTCCTCCTAGTCCATGCGCAGATCGCGTCTGTTTCCGATATTCGATAACTTGCCCCGTTTCCAAGTAATCGATAAAAATCGATATCGAAATCCTGTTTTTTGAGCAGTTTTGGTAAATAATAGGAGCTAGAGTCACCAAACTAGACATGTTGCTTCTAGAATAGTATATATATCAAGTATCTTTAATTTTAATCCTATCACCACCTCCCCGCTACTACCTAATAGCTATAAATCAAGTAAATAAACAAATTTATGCTTCCCACCAATTTAAGCCACAATTTAAATGCAATTGTCATATTGAGAATACACGAATATTTTATAGTACAATAAGATCTACTGCTGAAAATTGCATCAAGATCAGGTTGGCTGCCCACGTGTTTGCAGAAGCAAGCGCAAATTCCAAGAATCAAGCGTTTGCTTTGAATTCTATCAACAGCATTGCAATTGCGATTGTATTGTTTTCTGTGCTGCTATTTTAATTCGTTTTTTTCTCAAAAACAATTAATTATTGGTGTGGCTGTTGGCAGTTAAGAGTTCGAACCCTGCCGAGGAAAATGTATTTTTTTTTATGGCTGGTGTGGCTGTTGAGTAGAGTCAGCAGCAAGTAATGCGGTCAGTTACGAGCTCGAACCCTGCCAAGGGAATTTTTTTTTTTTTGTTTTTAATTTGTCTTTATTACTACTAAAGCAAACGAGCGCGTAGCGCGGGCTGCGTTTTGTGTTGGAATAAGAGGGTTCAGGGTATCCCCTAGTCCGGAGCTCCCGACTATATTTAATATGAAGGTTTTCGCTTGGCATATACAAACATTTGGGTTTTATATTCAAAGCCTGAAGTTATTCAAAATGCGCATATAGTTGCTTTATCAGAGGACGTAATAGTGGACTAATAAACTCCCAACTAAGCCTAATTTGAGCAAAAGGCGGTTAAGTTGGAAAGCGTCCTTCTGAGTTCCGAGCCAAGTGTTAGCTTGAGGCGTCTTCTTATAGCATTTGATATTAATACCATACAACATTGCTGGCAACGTAATTAATACGTAAATAATAAGTTAACTAGAATTAGGCAAACTACTGCTCAACGATATTCCAATTGTGTCAGTCCATTAAAATTTGCTGCATCGCTCGGATATTTACTAGGCGCTTCCAATACGAGTTGAAAGTCGCTGACATCCGCGAAATAAGCGGCAAGCGTGTATTTAATAATTGACGTTGCCAATCCCGCAATGTTCAGCGTGTACAAAATAGATTTGGGGATGTTCCCCAAAGACACCCCTGCTTTCATTCCTTTGGACCCACACAATGGAAAATTATTTCTTGAATCGATACGGCGATTATTGTCCGGTCTTTATGAAATTTATGGCGCATATAATAAACATGCAAATGTGTGTCAACACAAATGCCCAGTTCTCAACCTCCAAACTAACTTCTTTTTTTTTTAATTTTATGGGTAACGGGTGGGGTATCGAAAAAGTTAAGTGTTCTTGATCTCTATATACCATACGAAATTCTATATACAATATGACTAGCACTTTGAAGCTCCAAAATACGCTCAAATTTCATGTAACTGTGGCAAGCTATAGATGATTTGAAAATAGAAGAACATCTGCGCGGGTCATGGGAGGATATACGATGAATAGATAGAGTCTCTATTATAGTTTTTATAGTTTCCGAGATCGACGCGGTAACACATACGGGCAGATGGACATCAAAGTCAGTGGGCTACCCGTAAGCTTCTGCTGAACAGGTTTTTGCTGTGCCTCAGGCTGACGCCAGTGTAAATGAGTTCGCTCCTTTCGTGGAGGAGCCTGTTGTTTCGTCACTGGTGTGTAATCTGGTGTATTGCAGGGGGTTGTAAGAGCAACTTCTTTTTACGCTTATGTCGGAATACGAGCGACTGGACAGGCGCTTGGAGCCATTTTGCTTACTTACCGCTTACTCCTCTATGAATGAAAGTTAGAGTATATCGTTCGTGGGCTAAGTGTGTAAGAAGCAGTAACGTAAATTTCGCTTTACGAATTAACTTGACCACATGGTTGCATGTATGAGAGACACCGCAAGGTCAACCTCAAATAACTATATTGATAAACTAGTAGAGCCGGCATTTGCGTAAAATAAAGAAATTGTCGCCACTTCTCACTTGAAAAAAACGAAGTCCATGAACATGGCGTATATTGATCTATTTTGGTGTGTGGATTGCAAGTAATGGAGTTGCATTGTACAATCGGGTGTGGTGATCCATATATTGGAAGAGACTACAGATAAGCCTCCCCTTGGAGGAACACACAGCACAGCACACAGTAGTAGTGTCTTTAATTTTTCCCTGTGGAATTGATGATTAAAGCGGGTGCTAATTGATTAATTCATTAGTAGAAATCCTGAGAATTATCCGTCGATTTATGAACTTACAAAGAGCCCGCTTACTTCAATACCTTTTTATACCCTGAACCCATTGACAATGGGTAAAAAGGGTTTAATGTATTTGTGTATATGGATGTAACAGGCAGAAGGAAGCATCTCCGACCCTATAAAGTATGTATATTATTGATCAGCATCACAAGAAGAGTCGATCTAGCCATGTCCGTCCGTCCGTCCGTATGTAAGAACGCAAGGATCTCAGGAGTATATGAGCTAGAGAATTTTAAAATTTTACCTGTAGGTCCTCATAGTGCCCGCGCAGATCGAGTTTGTTTCCGATGTTCAATAACTTGCCCCGTTTCCAAGTAAACGATAAAAATCGACGCCGAAATCCTGTTTTTTGTGCAATATTGGTAAATAATAAGAGCTAGAGTCACGAAACTTGACATGTAGCGTCTAGAATCTCTATATATAAAACTGTTTGTCCTGACTGACTGACTTATTGACTGACTGATTGGTGATCAACGCACAGCCCAAACCGTAAGACCTAGGAAGCTGAAATTTTCACTGTAGTTACCTTATGTGATGGAACTGCACCTTAAAACGGGGTTTCGGGAAATTCCACCCGCAAGTATGGAAAAATCGCGAAAAGCGTATGCATGAAACTTTTTTGTTTACCATCCGATCGGCCTCAAGCTCATTTTCAAAGATCTTTCAAATTCATCTGATGGGTATTTCACATTTTGGAAAATCCTTCCTTCCCTGGTGGAAATGGGGGTCATTCATTTAGTGGGTGGCGTATCGCCTCCAATTACATTTTCAGCGATCTATAAGAAAAATCATTTGAGACGTGTTTCACATTTTTTGCAAAATTAAAACTTTCTCGGTGGAAAGTGAAATTCAAAGATTTTTTTGGTGAAGTTTTAAGTTCAGTCCGATTTGCTTCAAACTTATTTTCAAAGGTCTACATACGAGTTTAATGAATGCGTGTTTCAGCTACTTGGGAAATTTAACCCGCAACAATGGTAAATTGGCGGAAAACGTTTACATGAAAGTTGTTTACCGTTCCATCAATTTCAAAATCATTTCAAAGCTTTTTGAGAAATTCCATTTCGTAGTATATATACATCAATTATCTTTCATTTTATAGCTATCGCCACCACCCCGCTATTACCACATAGCTATAAATCAAGTCAATACATAAATTTGTACTGCCCACCAATTTAAGGCACAATTTTAATGCAATTGTCATTTTGATAAAACACGAATATTTTATAGTACAATAAGATCTACTGCTGAAAATTTCATCAAGATCGGTTATGAAACACAAATGTTATTAAAGAAAATGTGTTTTCTATCAACATTCTATCAACAGCACTGCAATTGCGATTGTATTGTTTTCTGTGCCGCTATTTTACTCCGATTTTTTCTTATAGACTCAATTCTTAATGTGGCTATTAAATAGAAGCGGTTGCGAGTAGTGTGGTCTAGGGCGAGTTTGAAACCTACCGAGGAAACTACCGAGGAAACTTTTTTTTTTAATTTATTTTTATTACAACTAAAGCAAGCGTGCCCTTAGCGCGAGCTGCATTTGGTGTTGGAAGAAGAGGGTTCAGGGTATCCCCTAGTCGGGAGCTCCCGACTAGAGCCTCTTACTTGTTTAAACTTATATAATGGGGTCAGGGTATAATAATGAATATCTTTTTATATACATAGATAGAGGAAGTTAAAATATTTACGAAATCTTGTATATCATTTAGTCGGGCGCTGCCGTCAAGAACAGTCTTAATTGATATTATTTTCAACTAAACTACCATCGTCAATGTAGAACTTGGGCATCAATATTGTCTGCAGTACGCCAATTAAATAGATTATGAAAACTTATAACGAATACTAAAGTATGGTATGTGTGGCCATATATATGACAGGCAATAGAAAACTCGACTGGAATACTTTTCATTTAGTTTAAAATTGTGTTTTTAGTCCTATATACCTTCTAAGAACCCTCAACTTGGGTCACTTAAGACAACCTTCGAGCAGTTATCGCTAAGCTTGCATGTCAGCTTAACTACAGCTTACGTCGTGGCAAATAACTTATGTACATATAAAACCACATTTTATAATCTGTCTTTATGTACAGTGTAATTGTTCAACTACAAGCAAAGTAAATGCACAAGATACGATTTATCAACATTGAGTAATTTGCACTAGCCGCACATGGAACGAATTAACCTTTGAATTCACCCAAATACTCCACAGTTATCAAGTAAGAGCGCTTTAGTCGAATGTGCTCGACTACCCAATGCTTATAATTGTAGTTATATTTTAGATAAATTATTGAACAACAAACAAGCCCATGATCGATTCGTTGATGATTAATGAAAAGGTTGTTGTCTTTTATATATATCTGATTCCTATCTAGCAAACATCGATTATCATTCCGCAAATATTAGCGCTGGCGGAGCTGCTAAAATAATAAAGAGCAATAGTATACGCGATTCCATGGAATTTGAAAGCACGATTCGGGGTCAACGAGGGGTTGGAACTAATGTTCATTTTACAATTTTTTATTAACTAGTTTTGAACTGCAAAACATTATTGGATCCTCGCTTTCTTATTGCGGGCGATTAGAATGCTGAACATATCTTGTGGGTCAGACACGTATTTTTCTTTCCTTTACACATTTTCTAATAAAATTATACTTATAAACAATATCAACCGATTATTTGGTTAATTTAGTCCGTCAATATTCACATATAAAGAAATCAAAAATGACTGGGACCTAACAATTATATTTCAAATCTTTTTCTGTTTTGTATCATTTACTGCACTATGTTTGTTTTATTGTATTATGTTTCAAAGCTTACTTTCATTTAAAATATAATCATTTTTTTCCAATACAACGATCGGGACTGCCAGCCAATTTGTCCACAGACTTTTTATGCCCCGTTTTTGGGATGTTCTTTAGCATATCTGTTACGGCTGTTTAAAAGGCTGGAACGTCTTAGCAAAAAGCTCCTTCCCCGCAGTTTTCTGTTATGGGAAATGAAAATAGTCACACGGTGATAGATCATACGAATAAGAAGGAGGGTGGTCGATGACGGAAATCTGCTTTTTCATATGAAACACTAGTTGACTTTTTGGATTGATCTTGTGAGGTAGGGCTATATCATACAAAACAGCTTTTCTCTTTAGGGATATTGGGGTCTGACACGAACAACTCTCAACCACAAACGATGAGCCATTTATAAATAGTATCCGCTGTCAAATTCATTGGTATAATAACTTGGAATCACAGAAAATTACCAGCGTTCTCTTGATACGTTTTTTTTGCTTTTGGGCTTTTGGCTCGTCTTTTAACTTCATTTGATGTCGAACAATATGATGAATTCAATTATTCTGCCAGAAAGATAGAAATTATTTCACCTACTCTTCCAAAAACCCAGCAAACGATTTGGTATTAAAGGTCGTCTGGGTCTTGCTTGGATCATTATTAAAAATTGTTACGGCCAATTTTGAATTGTGGCGTTTGCAATTGATTTTTCCAAGTATTCGATAATTTTGTAATGTTAAGACGCTCTTAATGATATTTCGAGCTAGCAAGCGACATATCAGATTCAAAACTTACCAGTCAATTAAAAAATGAATATACAATACTTTAAAATGTATTATAACATTTGCTTTTGCAATGAAATTTTGTTTGAACGTTGGAGTCTACTTTGCTTGACTTTTGGGAGAAGAACATATTGCGACTCCAAGGTGTGTAATATTTTACAAACAATTTCCAATTAAAGGCCAAACATTCGTCCTATCCAATACATATGGTCATTGTCAATCCCATTCATAGTATCAATTACTCTGGCAGAAATATAGCTAAGAAAAAGTCTTTTATTTTGTGTGAAATTGGTCGACGTTGTGCACTTTGCGAAATACGGCTTGGCACTGATCGTTCGTCTCTCGCTGCGATCGATTGACACTGAGGCGCTAGACTTCCAAACAAAATTTTAACCGCTTTTCGACTAGGCTGCGACTCTGTATATTGTATTCTCTCATATATGTATACTTACATACATTGAAAATATTTGAATGCGACTAGACATTTTATAAAATAAGCAGTAGATGATTAACGAAATCGACTGAAATACACACAGTAATCGGCTACTAGATTTTTCAAAGTATTCGATATTCCGGTACTGTTTTGTCGCTGTTAACTAAATTTGAGATGTTTATTCAGTTCAGTCCACCAAGTAGAACGAATTGTGTGTTTCGAAACCTAATTGCCGGACTTGTGTGATTTACTTTGAATAGCCATACAATACAAAACAAACAACTCAGCTGATTGGATGCAAAAATTGATGCAAACGGATAGTAGAAACAAAGACAATATAAACACATATAAACAAGTGTTAATATTGTCTTTGGTAGAAACACCTTTTAAGGTGTAATTTTAATTGTGGCGGCAAACACCAATTGGAGTGCCAGTATATACGTACTTTTACGCTGACAACATTCATTAGATGATACGAAGTATTCTATAAATTAAATAAACATTTCGTGTTTCTAGATTACGCTGTGTATGAGATATTATGTGCTTAGTATTGGACAACGTGCACAGACCACAAATATTTGGGTTAAAATCCCTGACATGACCGAAGATTTCTATACCCTGAACCCATTAATAATGGGTAAAAAGGGTATAATGTATTTGTGTAAATGTATCTAACAGGCAGAAGAAAGCATCTCCGACCCCATAAAGTATGTATATTCTTGATCAGCATCAACAGCCGAGTCGATCTAGCCATGTCCGTCTGTCTGTCCGTCCATCCGTATGTATGAACGCAAGGATCTCAGAACCTATAAGAGCTAGAGACTTGAAATTTTATAGGTTCTCCTAGTGCCCACGCAGATCGTGTTTGTTTCCGATATTCGATAACTTGCCCCGTTTCCAAGTAATCGATAAAAATCGATATCAAAATCCTGTTTTTTGAGCAATTTCGGCAAATAATGTGAGCTAGAGTCACCAAACTTGACATGTAGCTTCTAGCTATAAATCAAGTTTATTATCCAACTTGTATTGCCCAATTTAAGCCACAATTTATATGCAATTGACCTTTTGAGAATACACAAATATTCTATATTCTAATTTACAATAAGATGTAGTGTCGAAAATTACATTAAGATCTGCTAAGAAACACAAAAGTTATGTGCGCACTTGTTAGCAGCAGTTAGCGCAAATTCCAAAAATTTCTGTGTACATGTACACACACACATTGATGCGCGTCTGCTTTGAATTCTATCAACAGCATTGCAATTGCTATTGTATTGTTTTCTGTGCTGCTATTTTAGTTCGTTTTTTTCTCAATTTTTCTTTATTACTACTAACGCAAACGAGCGCGTAGCGCGAACTGCATTTGGTGTTGGAAGAAGAGGGTTCAGGGTATCCCCTATTCGGGAGCTCCCGACTATAACCTCTTACTTGTTTTTTTTTTAACTTTAGGGGAAGTGAAATAGATAATCTAGTTTTGCTTATGGTATAGGAGAATATTTATTTCAAATTTCAAGTTGAAATGTTTATAAAATCGATCTGACAGATCGATTGTTAGTTTAATAATGGGTTCGCCTCTTTCTGCCTTTTACATACATTTGCACAAAACCGTTATACTCTCTATAAGCCATTTTTAATGGGTACATGGTATATAATATATATGGTATATATATATCAAGTATCTCTCATTTTATAGCTATCGCCAACACCCCGCCACCTAAAAGCTATAAATCATGTTAGTAAACCAACTTGTATAGCCTATCTAATTAAGCCACA